TATATATATATATATATATAAATATATATATATATATATAAATATATATATATATATATATATATATATATATATATATACTTATTTATCTACTTTAAAAGATAATTTATATTGTAGCCTCTTACCATTTATCTTGAATTATCTATAAACTATAAATTTTCAAGAAATTATACATTTCTAGATTAAATAGAATATTCTAGTTAAATAGAAAGTTATTGGACACAATAGTCGGATATAATGGAATGGATTCTAGAGGACATAAAAATATGAAGAATATCTAGGAAAAAGCCAAAGTCTTTAGAGGTGAAACTTAATAAACTTCATGGACGAAAGTATAACCAAAATGGAACTGATTATTAAATTTGAATAACAATTTTTGTAGGTCACATTTATTTTTGTTTTGTGCAATGTATTAATATAAAATTATGTGTATGCATACTTAAAAAAATTATGTGTATGAAAACCATGTAATGATGTTATTTATAAACTATTTTATTAAAGTTATATTTAAAGTTATATTGTTAAATGGGATGTACTGGGTCCTAGGCAAGGTTTAGAGGGGTTTTTCCTTTGCCATTGCACCAATAAGACCTTCCCCTCCTTTGATTTCCCAGATTTCTAACAAATAATAAAGAATTTTTAAAAAAGCTATTTAGTGTTTTATTTAATATTCAATAGTTATTTCCAGTAAACATTTGCTTTATTTTGTTCAAAAAAATTTTTACAGCACTCAATTCAAAATATGTTTTTATTATCATACATGCATGTATGGTGAAATTCTCATTCATTCTGGATCAGAAAACAGCTGAACTTCAAATGCAGATCTTTGGTCTTTAATGTATGTTGAGATAATGTTTGAAGAAAACTCTAAGATACTATGTTTCTTCATTGCAAGATTAACTGAACTGGCTCTATGTTTTCCATAATACAAAACCATTGACTCATCCAAGTTTTGGTGCTAAATCGAGAAATTTTTGATTCATTACATCAATCAGAGGTTGAACCTTTGAAAATTGGTCCTGTGTATCCAATTTTACATTGTCACAACAATTAGTATTCTGTATAAATTTGAAACGGTTTCTAGACATGACATTAGATACAAGGTCGTGAGTAGAATCAGGGATTTCTCCCAGTAAATATATCGCCTAAGAACACTCATATATCCACTATATAATAAAATTCCAATAAAACACTTAATTTCGTTTGTTATAATATCGCATTCATGGTTATGTAAATTGGCATACATATTTGAAAATTCAACAAGCATCTGAATAACTTTATCATCAAAAAATAGGAAAAAAGTATCTGGGGAAATGATGTTTTTTGGACCTTCTCTTGTACTCTAATTTAAAATCTTGCTATGTATATCTCTCTTGGTTCATCAATCATTTTTGCGGCTTTTGTTCACATTTTTACTGTAGGAGCTACCTGTTTGCTAAGTGTGGCAAAGGCATGTCGTCTTTATCTTTATTAATATCGCATTTGGTATGGGTTTTTGGACCATTTATGATTATCTCTGCCTGTACTTGTAGTTGATTTGCTGGCAAGTTACATATTTCTACATCTCTTTCCCATCTTTTGGCGGAAAAATAATTATGTTATCAGGAAGATCATTATCTGACAGATTTTCTATCTCTTCCATTAACTCACTTCAAATCAAAGGTTTTGTCCAGTAGGTATCTAAAAAAATATTCATACTTAGTATAGCGAAAAGGGCCACCCTTATTAATAAAGAACTTTTTTTAACCATTTAAACAATATATTATATTTACCTTTTGTCAGTCATGTTTGGAAACAGTCTTTCAGGTAACCTCCAAAATTATGTCCAAACTCCAGATTTATAAAAGAATTATTAATTTTTTTTAATAAAATGGTTTTTGCTACACGAAACAACACGCGCCATCTTTTAATAACTAGCAATATTATTAAATTAAAGACATATTTGTAACGAGCTCGATTAAAAAGAACGGTGGCCTTAAATGGGTTTAATTGACTTTAATATCCCTTCCAGATTTATTCGGATATTTTCAAATTTTACAGTCATTTTTCATAGGCATAGTTTTGCTAATTTCATAATGCAAATTGATTAGGTTCTCCTGAATGTTATCCAACACATTTCTGAAATCTTATAAATCAGTTACGCTTTTTGTCCATTTTACATATTCTCAATTCTGTATATTCAATTCACAATATCCCTTCTTTTTTATTTCCTTTTTATCACATAGGTTCTCCAAGTCCTTTTAATGTCACAGTAAATTAACCCTAATTTAGATGCAGTATTACATAATAAAAGTTATTAATTTATTTATTTCCTCAGTATTTGAGGTTTAAATGTATTTAAAATTATACATTTTTATGTGATCTTTTATAGTTATGAAATTATGAAAATTTGAAAATTTTCCATTTTAAAAATCCAATTGACGTGCATTCCTTAATATTTGACATTTTAAAAATTCCTCACTTATTAACTATTCTGATGTTTTGGCAACGCTGTGGGGTTTTGACGTCGTAAATCTTGAATGACGTGCAAGCTTTTTTATCTGAAAAATACTGTATATGGATATATTCTTATTATATTGAAACTTATTATAATTTCATTGTTATTTTTTACACTTTGAACCTCTGTTTTACTCCTGCTGCTGTCGAGTTTCCGATTCTAGAAGTCCCCAAGATATCATCAGATTCCCTCAATTATATTTGGCACCTTCTTGTTAATTCTGATTTTCTTGGTGACTATACTTTGCATGCAATATATAATTAAACTCTTCTAGTTGCTCTGCATAATTATTTCCTTCCAACCACTAACGGTACATGCTCTTAAGCCCTATGGTGTCTATATTAATAGTGTTTCTTTCTTTTTCTGTTTCCTGGTGTCTGTCGTTGATAGATTTAATAATCCCAATTAATTAAAATTAAATTCACTTTTGCCCTAAGAATCAAAATGACATACAGCAACTTAATTATTTACCATGTTCATTTCCCATTTACCATCCAAGTCTTTTGACGTTGTGTTTAGCTTAATCAATGTATTCCTCATTTTGTTTATTTTTTGTCATTTTGTCCTTTTTGAAGTTATACTTCTATACGCACGGTCAGCGTTGGAAATTTGCATGGGAGTGAATCTGTGAAACAATTACATATGTAAGATAATGAGTAAGAGAGAGACATATATTTTCTCTCTCTTCCTCTCTCGAGAATAAAAATGTTCCTTTTGTATACAGGGTGTTTCAAAAAGGTATATCATAAATTAAATCACGCATTCCGGGGACAAAAATAAATTGATTGAATCCAACTTTTGAGTACGTTCAAATCAAATGAATTTTGTGGCATCTTTAGTTTAACACATCATTTTTAAAACTTTTTTGCCTCTGATCACTTTTTGTGACTGACTTTTTTTTTAATTACAACAGTAAAAAGAATAAAATACATAAAACATATTATGGTATGATATTGTGACATTCAACCATTAATCAAATCGTATATATTCGGGTCCAGGGCCGGGCCAACTAACTTCATTTGTTCATTGGGCCATCTACTCTTAATTCCCATAGCATTTCTACTCAAACGTAAAGCAATTATGTGCAGCGCAGCTTGGAGTAAAACATTACATGCGAGACATAAGTGTGCGGAGCGGCCTGTTGTGTTACATTCGTGCGAGGCACACTTGCCACACATGGCGATCAACGTGTTAAATGTAAGACATCTTGCAGATGTAACAATAAAGAGAACGCTTGAGATAAATGCTGTGCCATCTCAAAATTTACCTCAAGTTGTCATTACAAAAATAAATAACCCTGCTATGACACAAATTGGGATAGACAGAATCCAAAGAAAAAATATATAGAGGTATGTACTTACATAGATATTTTAAACGGTATTTAACATTTTTTACATTTGTGTAGGGAGAACCCAATCCGCAAGTTCTGGTATACCTGAAACCACAGCCAGTGATCCCAGAAATACCTCTTTGCCTGCAAAGAACAATGGTTTTTGCAGAGACCCAGGCGTTCCAAGCGCCCTCCTAAGCGTTACCAAGACGCCCATGAATGATGCCCGAGGTCTATCCCAAGCCCTCGCCAATAATCAGTTTTGTTTTGTATCAGTCATTTTCTACGTCTGATCCAAAGGGAGAGTTGTTTTGATGTAACAAAAATTGTACTTGGCAACCCTGCCATCCATTTTGACGTAGGATGCAATCAACATGTGTGTGTACCTCTATATTAAACTACATAATGTAGATTTTTAATAATGTAGTCTATTGTTTTATTTTAATCGGGTTACACCGCATCAAGTAATGTGTTTTATTTAGAGATGAGCATCGATGGTCGATATTAAGAAAACATCTATGGTCATACACCGATGGTCGTTGTTTTCAACATCGATGTTATTGTGTCGATGTTTTTCGACCATCGATGGTGAATTTACGATGTTTCATTCAGTTAGTTTGGCCAACGAACGGTATACTAGTGTGAAAAAAGTTGCCTAAGTAGTTAAGTAGTAGTATTGGTATAAGTCACAAATCACCTAGCCTACATACCTCGTGGTATTAGTTCTTTGTTTTTGTTTTAACTTCAGTAAGCTGTATCAAGAGAGTGTCTAGTTGTTCATTTTTTGACCTGAGTAATTTTTAATTTAAAATGCCTAAAAAACTGCTGTTTGGCTTCATTTCGACAAATCAGCTGATGGAAAGTCAGCAAAGTGCAAGCAGTGCGGAAAAATTATTAAATCAAGTGGTAGCACTTGAGAGGTCACTTGGATAGTAAATATAAAAAATACACTATAGGTGCAAGCAAAACAGGGAACGAGGAACCCCAGTCAAGTAAAAGGCAAAAATTAGAGGATAAAGATTGTTATGTATTGTTGTGTATCCAGTCAAGCTGATGCTGGTCCAAGTACAAGCAAACAAGTACAATCTGTAAGTACAAGCCGTAGTTCTTCTATTTCAATAATGAGACAACCATCCATAATAAACACAATTAAAGGAATAGAGTACTACCAAAATGGAGGCAGGCAAAATAAAAAAAATAACTCAAGCCATTGTTTACATGATTTGTAAAGATATGAAGCCATTCGCAATTGTTAAAAGAGATGGTTTCAAAAAACTGATAAAAAAGCTGATACCTCACTATACGTTACCAAGCCGATTTACCCTTAAAAGACAAGTACAAAGCAACTATGATATAGTTTCTTCATCAATGCGAACGTTGTTATCAAACCAAAAGGTAACAGTGACTACAGATGTGTACACAGACCTGCAGATGAAAAGCTACAGCAGCATAACCGTTCACTTCATAGATGATGAAAATAAATTATTTTCAGGGACAGTGGGTATGGTATCGTTAGATGATCTGCTGAGAAGTGCTAAAAGCATTTGACAAAAGATTCGGACAAATTGAGCAGTTTAGTTTATTAGGTATGGCTACATTATTGGACCCACGATTTAAGACGATGCATTTTAAAAATGCACTTGCATGTAGCAGGTTAATATTCATTTTTATTTATTTATTAACAGCATCCATTTACAAAAGTTTTAACACAGCTGCACATTAACAACAATAAATGTTTAAAATAACATCATAAAATAACATCTCAACAAACTCATTTTAAGATACCTTTAAATGGTTTTGTCATAATATTAATTGTCATAGTCAATAATCAAAATAGATTTTTCAACATGTTTTGATATCATAGCACGTGAAATACTCAACATTATTGTCATTTTATTGTTACAGGTATATAAACACAGTAAATGCAAGATTAAGACTACTGGAAAATGAAATGAATGATCGAACCATTAGTAATACTGAAACTGACAGCACTGTTGAAAAATCTTCAAAAAGCATATTTAGTGAACACAATAAACAGATCCAAACAAACCAATAAGGAAGAAACTGTCGCCAAAATACACAATCTCGACAAAGATTGCTACTTTGGCCGGCCAATCACAGCGCTCGTTATTAACTTCGCTGTCATTGGCCTCTCGGCGGCGGAGCGCTGCGAATTCTCAAACACGATGTGTATAAAAGAGCAGCGCACCGTCCGTTCGGGATTTCAAGATGATCAGAGAGTTTGGCTAAGGTCAATGAAGTTGGTTGCCAGCAACCGAACAGTGAAGACGTGCTTCGGAGTGCATTATTTGACCTGAGTCAACTGAGCTTGTTAGCTCCACCGGTGGTAGTAAGCACCGAAAGTGGCTTAGGCACTTATTGTATTTCAAGGCGAAGAGCGTTGCTATTAAGTTATCAGCTTAAACCGCAGAGAGGTTGTCTTTATAGGCCTCTCTCGGAGGGCTATAACTAGGTAGTGACGCCGAAAAAGCGCGAGAAAACTGCAGGTGACGACAGGCATGACACTGTAAGGTCCTGGTTTTTTAAATCTAGGTCGGACAGAAACGGCCCCTGCGCCTGCAGTTTGAGAAACTGCAAGAGGAAACCTCCTGGTGACAGGAGTGATCTACCGCGATAAAGGTCTGGGACGACACCCAGAATCCATTCGACACGTGTCGGGTGGAAAAACAAAAAACAGAGATCTTTTAAAATAACGCAATCATAATGTCTTCTGTTTCTTCCGACGAGGAAACACCCCAGCCCCTCTCAGATTTTATAGAATCTTAACTCCTGGCTGATCTTATCGACTTCACAAACCCACCCCAGAACCTAGCCGTTGAGACAGAGTCCGTATGTAAAAATACAACTCCAGTCTCAACATCCATTGCCCCGCTGTCTCCCGCCATTTCGGAGAAATCCGAGATGGACGCGGGAACACCCAATCCCTCTGCGCATGACGAGGACGCCTCGTATAATAGCGAAGTGAGCGACCATCTGTCGAACACTTCGGACAAAGATGATAGAATTCCCGCGCGAAATTTTAACGCCATCAGGCAAATCTTCAACAAGCCCGAAGAGCCGAAACCCAGACGAGGAGAAGGCGCGAAAAGACCGTGTCCCAGCCCAGGACAAAGCCCCGTCACAGAAAAGAAAAAAATCAGAGACGACAACGAATACACTTACGACCAGCAGATACAGATGCTAATCCGCAAAATAGAAGAAATGCAGGACACCCGCGCTGCACAAATCGACGCCCTGATGAACCAGCTGACAGAGCTGAGAGCAGAACTGAAAGAAAAAGTCCAAGAAAATCGAAAATTAGTCGCACAGCTAGTGAGACTAACTGAAAAAAGCACCGAAACCGCCAAAGAAAAGAGTCCGAGGCAGTCAAGTGCCAATAAACAAAGCAAAGAACCGGTCAAGACTACTGAAAAAATGAAAAAAGTAAACACAGAAAAATCCAGCAAAAAGAAGTCAGAAGAAGTCCTCGAAGACACCAACGACGACGGCAGCGAATGGCAAAGGTTCACACCACGAAAAGCCAAAAAGCAGCGGATTCAAGAAGCTAAGAAAATCAGTGTTGCCGAACGGCAAGAACGCTGGTCAGTCTATACGCGGATGACACAGCCATAGGAGCCAGTGGCAGAAATCCTAATCTAGCCGCAAACCATCTACAGAGCGCTCTAAACAGATTCCAACGCTGGTGCATAAAGTGGAAAATTGCCGTAAACCCTGACAAAACACAAGCCGTTATGTACAGACACCGATTCGGAAGACCGGACAGAGAATTACTGGTAGGAAAAACCCCAGTAGAATGGACGAACGAGGCTAAATACCTCGGAGTCATATTAGACAGAAAACTAACGTTCACGGAGAATGTCAAACAAGCTGTCTACAAAGCAAAAGCGCTAAGAAGTCAACTCTCTTCGCTAATTGGCAGAAAGAGCAAACTGCGATTTAAAACAAAAATGAGGGTAGCTAATAGCATAATCCTACCCACACTAACGTATGCATCTGCCGCATGGGGTCACACATGCAGAACCAACAGAAAAAAGATCCAAACAGCACAGAATTGTACAGAAAGTACGTTCCACTAAGATACTTATTTAGGGACTCTGAACAAAAGCGAATACTGCGAACAATGGATGAAAGAGCGCATAACATTTTTAACCAAATAAATACTCATCCCAGCAGAACACTCAGAGAGTTGACTAACTACGATATAAACCACAGAATGGTAAATAAACAGCCAAAGCATCAACTCATCGGATATAGGTAAATAGTAAACACAAAGAAACAAGATAGGCACAGAGTCGTCAAAATACCAGACAGTGAGCACAAAAAATATAACTAAATAAGTACAATATACACCGGGGTGTGTGCAGGCTCTATACACCCGGGAATGCACACCCCAACACACCCACACTTAGCAGTAGATTAGACTTGTTAGTCATACTACTAGACTTGATATTCAATCGCATTTATGATACAGGTAAAATACCCCAAGATTGGCTGGAGTCAATATTCATCCCACTACCAAAAAAGCCAAACCCACAACACTGCAATGAGTTCCGTCTGATAAGCCTTATGAGTCATGCTGTAAAAGTCCTACTAAAAATCGTACATAATCGTATCTATAGAAAGTGCGAAACAATCATCGGAGACGATCAGTTTGGATTCAGAGCCGGCATGGGAACGAGAGAAGCCCTGTTCAGTTTACTAGTTCTCGCCCAAAAGTGCTACGACCAACAGAAAGATATATTTATATGCTTTATAGACTTCGAAAAAGCATTTGATAGAGTAAGACACGACCTACTATTAGAACGTTTGCAAGAAGTCGGTTTAGATGGAAAAGACATCAAATTCTTAAAAAACTTGTACTGGAACCAAAAAGCCAGAGTTAGGATCGAAGGTTCCACATCCGCAGAAGTAGAAATTAGGAGGGGAGTTAGACAGGGATGTGTTCTGTCGCCTCTGCTGTTTAATCTTTACTCCGAGTTTCTATTTAAAGAAGCATTGGAGGATTCCAAGGATGGAGTCAAGGTGAATGGCGTAAATATCAACAGTATCAGATACGCCGATGATACAGTGTTAATTGCGGATTCCGACTCAGGTCTACAACGACTCATCGACAAGACCAACTCTACCTGTGAGCAATTTGGTATGAAAATAAACATTAAAAAAACCAAAGTGATGTCAATCCGAAAAAACCAAAACGTACCTCAACCTTGCACAATAAATGGGCACATCTTAGAACAGGTAAATAGATTTAAGTACCTGGGATGTTGGATCGATAGCAGCCTAAATCCTGATCAAGAAATAAGATCGAGAATAGAACAGGCTAGAAAATCTTTCGAAAAAATAAAAAAACTGCTTTGTGATTCTCGAATAAAACTCGAAATTCGACTACGTTTATCAAAATGCTACGTCTGGTCGACTCTTCTATATGCAGTTGAAACGTGGACCCTTAAAACATCAACCGTAAATAAATTGGAGGCCTTTGAAATGTGGATCTACCGGAGAATACTAAAAATTTCATGGACATCGCATACCTCAAACGAAGAAGTGCTGCATAGAATAGGCAAGGAAAGAGAACTTTTTAACACAGTAAAAGTAAGAAAAACATCATACCTAGGCCACATACTGAGAAATCATAAGTACCAATATGCCCAACTTATAGTGAAAGGAAAAATCGAGGGAAAGAGAGGCCTAGGAAGGAAAAGACTATCATGGCTAAGAAACATCCGACAATGGACAGGGCTAAATTTTGAACAGCTAATAAGAACAGCTGAAGATAGAGAAGAGTTTAAAATTGTAGTAGCCAACCTCCATTGAGGAGAGGGCACTTTAAGAAGAAGAAGACTTGTTAGTTTTAAGCAAAAAACAAAAAAATATACACGGAGTGTGTGAGAGCGCTATACACTTGGGAATGCACACTCCATAGTTAAGTTAGATTAGTAGTAGATAGGGAAATAAAAAATAAATTAACAAAAGCTCGCCGTCTGGTTAAAACCAGCTACGTCACCACCATCATCACACTACACCACTTTCCTTAATAAAATCCAGCAAAATATTACTAATTTCATCAACACCATATAGTTAGTGAACGGACTTCGAGCACCGAACTAACAACGATGAAACTCTAATTAATAAACATAGGAAAATGTAAAGTAAAAATCCGCTAAGCTTAATACATAAATTCACATAGTTACTAATTATAATAAGTTCAATAAGTTACTAAATAAGAAATCAGTCATAGCCATAAGACACAGGCCTCTCAGGCACCCAAATCGCGACCTCCGAGCATCAAGACCATGTACGACACACATGAGCTTAATGGCCGGGACACCTTCGAGCGCACAGCCGGCGAGGAGAACAAAATTTATTTTGCCAAATCGACGGCTGAGTGAACGAGCACACATAAACTTTTCCGAACAGAGAGCCGCCGGTTTAGGCCGGGGACCCTCTGTCCGGAACACACGAATTTTTCAGGCACCTCAGTCCCGCCGTTAAGTCAAATCACAAATTAGAGGCAGTAAAGTAAATTA